GATGGGGATGGGGATGATCTTGTTGATAACAAGTGATGATAGTCTTGATGGGGATGGTGATGGGGATGATCTTGTTGATAACAAGTGATGATGGTCTTGATGGTGATGGTGATGGAGTTGATCTTGTTGATAACAAGTGATCATGATCTTGGCGTGATAGTAATGGGGATGGGGATGATCTTGTTGATACTGACAATTATACTGATGGTTGATCTGAAATACATTGGGGTTAAAATAATATAATTTACTGATTGATGCACCATTACATTAACATCTTCCACTTGGTTCGCAGCCCAAGAAATCCAAGCAGTGCAAAAAGGTAGGTAGAAGCCACCTCTAATTTTCTCTCCTACCACTATTATCATGATGATGCCATTTATTCAGAATCATTAAAGCAGATTTTATAAGATAAGAAAAAGGTTGTAGCCAGGGCATGCCATGCTGTTTGGTGCTGAGTGCAAGGCATTCTGATTGGTTGAGCAGAAATGTTGTTGGAATATACACATGTAGCCCAAGCTTGAGATTCAATACAGAAAACTTGGGGGGGAAGGGGGGGAGCGACATGAGCACCCAATAGACCTCTTCTGAATTTCAAACTGCCTCTGTGTTCCTTGATTACATACTCATTTACTCCGGGTCAGCCTTGTATCAGTGTCTAAATATTCACAAATACCTTGGACAGGTTAAGAGTGCACAACTTCAGCAATACAAACACTTTGAAATTCCAAGGACCTTCACTGTAACACATTGGTAAATATTCTGCACAAAATCAAGGCTAAACCTGAGCAACATAGGACTCAAAACTAATAACATACCTCCCCTAGGTGGATCTTCCTTAGTCAGTAGCCTGTGCTGTGTACCCTGATTTTCTCAACATAAATGGTCTTTTTTGACTAGTAACATGTTGTTTTCTTTTTCTTTAGAAATCAAAGTCAAAGTTATTGCCGAAAAATTTTGATGTGGACAAGTTCCTTTCCAAATTGCATTACATCGAGAAGTGAATAACAAGGACAATGATCAAGGATTTCCTTGAGAAAGTATTTTTTAAATGCCTAACAGGGTAAGAATAGAACAGTTTCTGTATGAAGCAGAACTCAAAATAGTGGGGTTCCACTGTACAAGAACGAAATTCATGGAAAAAGGTTTTTAACAAAACGTTTTAAGTACTAGTTTTACACTTTTTATTGTTTGACTTGTGCAAGATTTCAAGAAAAAAATATATTTTCAAGTGTACATACAAATGTATTACAGATTATGAATAATACTTAAACAAATGTTGTAGATATTATATTTATAGATATCCAGTGCTAAAAATGATGGCCTGTCAATATTTACTGACAATTTCTGACTAGGATTAAAATTATAAATACTTTTACAGATAATCCATGTCACAAGTGACCAGTATTTCTGAGAAGTCAAATGTAGATCTCAAGACTATTAATTTCAAATCTCCAATCAACTAACTCAGATATTTCAACGAAAAAATTAAGCAAAATATTAGGTTTCAAACCCGCTATCAGGAATGATTAAGAAATTTTATCCAAAAGAATTTACTTTCCAACTGCATCTCTTGAATACCCCATTTTAGAGTTCCGTTCAGTTCCAGGCCAARGCTGGAGTTGCCACACATTATATAAAGTCCAGCCTCGACATGGAACTATTATTTATGGTCACTGATCAGAACTGTAAAAAGGAGTATTAGCTTGAAAATCTTCATTTTTTAAGTTAAAAGTATTTGTATTGCCCGAGTCTAGTGTAGTTGGTGCATAGACTTGGAATTACAGACAAAGCCGCCAAAAGTCCAATCAAAACAATATAGATACTGGTCAGGCGTGACATSAATTAGCTGGAGATGACAGTACTGTAGCTGAGCATTTTTATTGGCTGAGCAATTATCTCCTGCTGTGATTGGCTGAGCAATGATCTTGTGTGCAGTGATTAGTTAAGAGGATGTCATTCATTCCATACTATGATGGTGCAGTGCCATTTTAAAATAATACTAAATCTGCTCTGAGTTATTTTATTAAGCTTTCATCACTAACAAAGAACCAAGCAACATGAATGGCTCACAAATTTAGATCAACCAATTATCATACAGGTTCTAGAGAGGTAGTGAGTAAATTGAGCTGATATACAAATATATCCTTTCTGCAAAATTCAAATTTCCAAAATAAGCCGTGTTTATGCATGTCAAAAGAAATTGCACCAAATTTATCTATCCTGTTGTATGTTAATTTGTTTTTTTTAAGAAATTTTTTTCATAGATTGTATTTTACTGACAAGCATTTTAATCTTAAGTCGTTTGAGAAATATATTAAAATTATGAATAATCAATTTATCTCCATTTTTTCAGGTGTGCAAGTTATTCTTTACTTTTCTTTCTTGACTTCAACTTTCTTCTTTTCCTCCAACATAGGAAAAGCAGCAATCGCTGTTCCTATACTTGCAATTATTACGGATATCGTGCCTGGGCCATATACACTAAACTCAAGTGCAAATCCTCCTATCAGAGGTGACAACATTCTAGCGAATGACAACAAAGAATTTCCTACCCCAAGAATGACACCCCTTTCGTCTTTGTGACCACGTGTGAGTGTCAAATTAGTTATACAGACCCTAGAAATTGCCGTCGAAAATGACAACGGGATAATAAATATCAGTAACACCCAAAGATCTGGGGAATATGTTATAAAGAGAATGCAACTGGTTAATATGATGGCAAAATGGAATAATGCTTTCGAGTCCTGATGGTTATAGAATGACATTAAGTACCCCACGAAGGCTCCACTTGTACCCGAGATTATCCCGTTATATGACATGATGTACCCATTCGTTTTGGGGGTAGTCTGGTAGCGGTATTCAAGCATGGTAGTAAAATTACTCCGGAATAGAATCATGGAAAATCCTAGTACAAACCGTAACATTAAAATGTCTACCATTGAGCCTAAAGATTGAAATTGTAAAAAATGAAGGAGTTTTGAAAAAAAGGTATTTTCTTTTGGCGAAACAGGATTAGCTTCTTGTATTTTGTCATCTTTTTCTTTTTTTAGAATAAAGTTGTCCGTGTATTTTGATCCATGTATCTCGAAGTGGTCATCATTCTTTTCCTTTTCCTCTGGATTTTGTATTTCTACAGGCTTGTCTTTCTTGATATCCTTGTTATCACTTTGTAACTTCAAAACAAAGGCAGCAAAAGCYGCCATAAAAACAAACATTGCACTTTGTAACGTCATAACTGTAAAGAAACYGTTTTGAGTCATGGCAAGGTGACCACCAATCAAAGGTCCAACGACAAACCCAAGGCTACAGATTGCATTGAAATTTCCAAAAACTTTAGGTCTCTCAATTGCTGCTGTTACATCTGCCAAGCAGGCCTTGCACATCCCTTGTGTTTGTTTGAATATGCCTGAAACAAAATTTGCAAGAGTGGAAGTTCGAAATCAAGCAAATGCAGGTTCAACCAGGGACGTAGGAGCCAGAGGTGCTGGGGGGGGGGCTATAGCTCTCCCCCCATACTTTTCGAGAAATGATTTTTCAAATTTACCATTTGTAAAAAAGCTAAAATACTCACAACAATAAAACTAAATTATCATATTCAAATATAATTAAAATCTAGTAAAAGTAGCTATAGCATTGCTAAGCGTCAAGAAGGAAACCTCGAAAAGCATGATGCACACCAGCAGGCATGCTCTTTCTGATTTTTTCAATACAATTATATTTTCATTTAAACCCCCGCCCCATTAAAAATTGTGCCCCTTTATGTCTATGTCAACAAAATTTCCTGGCCCTCACATGTTGCACTACCTTTGCTGATCTTTATTTACCTTCCCCATACTCTATCAGTACCCTTCCATCACCAAGATTCTCTACTTTTTCAAGGGCCAACTTACTGTTCATTATTTATCTGGGGGGGTGGGAGGTGGATGAGAAAATGGGGGTTTTAAAATTTTCGTGACCCAGAAAAGGGTGATTTGACATAAATAATAAGTTATATGTAGGAGAGCCTTCAAAATGCTGGAAATAAACAAGGGATACCAGAAATATATTAAGCATACTAATGTCTGATTGGACAAAGAATATGCATTTTTCTTATTTTCTTACTTGCCCACCCCCCTCCCCCCCTCCGATAAATATGGAAGGAAGATTATTTGCTTACCAACAGGTATTCTTGCCAGAGCCAGTAGAAGCAGTGAATCGGCAAGTCCTATAGAGAAATACCCCATGGCTGTTCCTAACAATGATATCACCAGGATCTTCCTTCTTCCTGCAGTATCACTTAACTTGCCCTGTAAAACCAAGGTGTTAGTAAAGGCAGTTTTCATATGAGTGGGAAAGGATGTGGTAAATTTGTGACTGTACTGTAGCCATTATATTCTTGGTACGTGTTATGATAGTATGTAGTAGAGTCTCTACAGTATTCCACTGTCACTAAAAGTGTGAGTTACTTCAATTTAGATTTTAATCCCACATATCTGGTTACAGGATGATTTTGGGTTTGCTCTGTGGTTCTCTTTTTCAAATAAGAGCAGTTTTCCTATGACTTCGAAAAGCTGGCAGCACGAACATGGTTGGGATATGGCAAGACATATGCCAGATCAATCATTGTGCAAGTATTTACTCTCCAATCCAATACCCAAAACATGGAGTGAACACAGCCATGGTCACCCCAAGGTCACTGCACTGCCAGATCAATCACACTGTGCGAGAAAAATTAAAATCGTAGAAAACAATACAGGCACGGCACAGCACATTTACGGCACTCTGCTTTTCACAGTCATGCGAAAACTGCTCTAAACAAGGGTGTTTACTCACCATCATTGGACTAGAAAAAAGTTGTATTCCTCCGTATATGGACCCTGAGAAACAAACATACTTAATGTTTGAATAGAAAGTTGCCATGGAAACGCAAAACGAGGTTACTGCAACCTTAAATTTGAAAGTTTTCGATGTTTTTAATTTCGGCCATTATTCATAAAGTTAGTAGCCGTGTACCTTATACGTTGTAAAATCTTAATTGTTTGATTTTATTTTTTGTGTAAAGATGAAGAAGTATGCAAATAATTGACATCAGCTTATGTAAATTGGGAATCCTTTGCTATTGTCGTGAATACGTGTCCATCTCGCTTACCGATTAATCCAACTATGGAAGGACTTGCTCCAAGCTGCCTTGTTCGACGAGTAAGCAGAGGTAGCCCCATACTAACAGAAAACAAATCCTACGAAAAAAATAAACTCATGAGCCCAACTTCTTCATATAAAACCCGGTATTAAAGCTTTTTAGACATTGATTTAGGATGGCCCGTAAAATTATTAACTAATTAAAGTCTTCAGATTTTGTTAAATATCATTGAATTCAGATTTTGTTACCATAAAGCCGATAAAATACAAGCAGTATATTGATGTACGATGTTCTGTGATCTTGAAAGTCATTTTCGATGCTTGGTGGTCGATAGAGGAAGTTTTCCTTTGTGTCACGATTTCAACTAATGAGTCTAGTTTTGCATAATTTGTGTATTCCAGCTGAATTTATAATGAGTTACTCATGTAACGCAATCTATTTATCACAACATCGAAAATCTTCATACACCGAATCGAAATATGGCGACCAATTTGAATAACTATTGTTCTGCGCTGACTAGCGACTGACTAGCCTCGTGTTCACGTGGAAACATAAAAGCATTTTCACATGTATAGGAGGCTAGTCAGTCGCTAGTCAGTGCATAACAATAGTTATTCAAATTGGTCGCCGTATTTCGATTCGGTGTATAGTACCAAGGGTCTTTAATGGAGAAAGTATTAGAATATATACCCTTCTGAGACTCTCACTATCTCTCCTAAACCCCTTTCCATGAAGATATGTCTTGTGACAAGAGGACTTTACTGAACAGAGAACTTCAGTGGCAGATCCAGGAACTTCAGCAGGGGGTGACTATTTCCCGGGGGAGGGGGGGTGGGGGAATGGCTTACTGAGGATAATTACTGAGAAATCTAAGCAAAAGGCCTGCTTTATTGAACATTGAATGGAACATTAATCAAAGAGTACTTCCACTAGGATAACGAGGCAATTTTCTATTCTTTTCAAAGGAAAGAAAACTATATATTGAAATAATTTATAATTAATCTTCTGTGATCAGAGTTTTAAATTCTGAGATAATAGAGACCTTTAGTTGCGACGATGAGTACGAGAACGAGCACGAGTACGAGTTTTTAACTTTTAAAGAGAGGCACTATCTTTTTGTAGTCGTGTACGTAGATTGAAACTTTAGATGGTAAAAAATCGGGAATCGACTACGATTCATTGTTAACCACGTGCACAGGACCAATTTTAAAACTTGTACTCGTACTCAATCTCGTACTCGTCGTCGGATCTAAAGGTCGCTATTAGATAAATTGCTAAGCTTGTGGGACATAGCAACTGTAACTAAGGGGAACCAAGTCGGGAATATGAATTTATGCTTTGAACATTTTGTCATCTTCAACATTATCATTGAGAAACACTGATTGGAAAGATACATTTTTAAATATGTGGTCCTAATATCTAGCCATAAATAGATAGCTAAATATTTTTYACCTCATGAGATAATATTATCAATTATCATTTATCATCTCTCCTTTATGTACCAGACTTCCCTAAAATAGTTACAAAATTAATATATATATATATATTTACAGGATCAATGGCAGATCCATGATCATTTCAAGGGGCATAGCTATAATCAATCAATCAATCAATCAACCTCTATTAATGTGTCAATATATTTAGTCTCAGTGACTAACTGGGGACACAAATAAATCATATATCTATAAAAAAATATATCTATACAATCACTAAAAGAAAAAAAGAAAAGAAATTAAGCTAAAATTAAATCTAATAATAATTTTTAATTCACCCAGAAAGCCAGCATATGGCTTCCTCTTCAGAAATTATATTACTCTGTCAGCACCATGCTTTCTTTACTTACACAGCACAGTTCTTRACCAATCAGGGTATGTGTAGCAATGTGTTATTACATAATAAAACTGCACATAACATGACAGCGTATACATTTTCTCTTAATTTTCTTCATCAGTTGATGTCTTCTAAGATTTCTAAAAGCCAGTTTAGACAGTACGATTTTCGCCTACAACTATCGTATACAACACGCTCACGTCTGTCGTAGGCGAGTTGTAGGCTTGATTTACACCCTCAACTCGAGTTATAGGATGGCACGAGCGTATTGTATACGATAGTTGTAGGCGAAAATTGTACCATCTAAACCAGCCTTAAAGAGTCTCTGTGCTTACAATTGAATGGGAAAATAAGCTACCATTATTTCTCTCTTAGTACATGATCCCAAAATAGAGGGCAGAAAAGCATCTCTGCAGCCGAGTACTCAGTCCTATCACATTCCTTACAGTGAAGCAATGCAGTTCTCAGAAGATTTAGAAATCTTTTATATATTATGTATATTATTATAAAATATTTGAAATATAACCTGGGCACTGGTTGCCTGACTACCATCATTATATATTAGAGGATAGAGACACACTCGGGCAAAATATTGTTCAAAAATATTTYATAAAAGCAATATAAAATGCTTGCTTAAGTCTCTGTACTGTAACATAAACACTATGGGAGCTGTAGGAGCAAATGAGAAGCAAGAGAAACAATTTGCTATGCCTCATGTTCTTAAGCTTACTTCTCAGTCTCGTGCTCTGYGGCTACAAGTGTATTTATATCAGAGTACAGAGACCTGTGTGTCTTATATTTCTTAAAATTAGTTTTGTTATTTGTCATGAGGGATAATAGAGGGAGGACTGTAGATTACGACCAGACCATCAAAAGAACAGTCAGCCATCTGCAAGAAAAAGGTTCAATATCACAATAAACATGGAATAAAATCATACAGCTAAGAATAGTGAAATTTAAAATGTTAACTGAATTGGAATTCAAACATCTTGAAGCCCTTGAATCAAGAAAGAGACCTAATATTAACAAACTATACCCTCATATAACACTGATACCAGGAATCAAACCAGAGACCCCAGAGGTGAGAAGGGAGTGTCTGCCATACCACTAAAACATTCCTTTTTTGAACCCTCCCCAAGAAGTAGGACTTCCGATGATAGGTGGAAAACGCTATGAGAAATAAGTGTAGAGGGAAAAGAGAAGGGGATAAGAATGGGAAATGGTGACAGAAAGTGGAAAGTGGAAAGAAAATTTTTATTATAAGGTGTAGATGAAGAGTAAAACAAGTTTATTACTATCATTATTATCATTATTATTATTATTATCATTATTATTATTATCATTATTATTATTATTTTACCTGTCCCTGAGCATGAACGTTGAAGTCTAGACCCGTCACAAACTCAGAGTGATGTTCAATGGTCTGTAGAGGAGAAGTCTCTCTGATGTCCCATGTACGCACGGTGAAGTCATAAGAACAAGACGCTAGGATATTCCCTTGATGAGGAGAACACTGAAAAAAATGCAGACAACATTATGACAAGTAGATTCAAAATGATTTCACTCAGCCAGATCGAATTGACCAATCAGTGATCAGTTAGTTTGTAACTCAATACTTYCTAGTTTCAGGTTTTCAGCTCAATAAACAACATATTTCACTCAAAATTAAAGAAAATAAAACTGATCCATGGAAAGATACACCACATATCTTTTAGGAAGAGCATTATTCTGTGATTGTTGGTGGAAAATATTTTGTTTTGACAAGAGATAATAAAAAATACTTGTAAATTTTGGCTGAGACAAACAATGCATACACCTTTCTCATAAATAACCGCCAAACTCGGTTGGGACTAGGGACAATTGCATGGAAGCGAGGTCAGAAAGGCCTCATTAGTAAACAAAGTCTACTCAGTTCAATCTTTTGTGTAGACTGTGTAGACTTTGTTTACTAATGAGGCCTTACTGACCTTGCTTCCATTCAATTGTCCCTAGTCCCAACCGAGTTTGGTGGCCATTTATGAGAAAGGTGTATTGCGTGTCTAGATTGCAAATCAGCTGGTTTAAGAGAAATATCTAGATTAGTGTAAGGGTGAGTTGATCACGTGGTCACATGTTGATCAGTCTGATGTGGCCGTTATGATGTCAAGCCGTTAAGCAGCTAATATTTTTAGCCATATAGTCGAATGCAAATGACGATAATATTAAATCTTGATAAGATAGATAGATAGATCCTAAGTAATTATTTCTGGTCTTTTTTACCCCTCTCCTGTTACCACAGACACCCTCAGGACCATAATAGTATGTGTGGACCCACGATAGCGTGAGTTAATAACAGCAATTTCTTTGTCAGTGTTTTTCATTGGTGATTTTGCGAGGCGTMTGTAATATCAGGGATTGCATAAGGCACATATATGAGTTAAACTGTATTGATCATAATTTGATAAAGCATACTGATAATATTTCTTACCCTTAGTCTACGTACAGCGTATGGATGGCCTTTGAAACTGAACACAGGAGACTCAGTATTACGTAYATCCCACCCTCTATACACAGAGAAAGAAAATAAGTCACATTAACCAACATGTATCCAGACGAACCGAGCTTATAATGCTGGACAGTACAAAGAAAGTTGGGGCTAGGTCTCAATACTGTAAGTAACTTTTCATATTGTGATTGAATGATCAAGCACAAAACAATAATTGTTATTTTATGTCACATCCGTTCTGTTTAAAATTAATGATAGCAAATTCCTGTTAAACTAAAGTGAATTAAATTAAGTTTAATGATCTTCATCAAAGTCATAATTAAATTATACCTGATGAAAGTATCCACCGACCCTGATACAACAATGTGCTGAAAATAACAAACAAAAAACAAAGCTTTGTGACCTTGATTTGAAGCTTTTGTTTAAACTTGGTATTTTATTTAATTCTTTTAAGAAAGGGTAATATACATATCATACATAATAAATGTAATTTTAAGCTTTGATTTGATTGATCGTCCGTCCGTCTGTCCATCTGTCTGAATCGACCAGCCAGTTGGTTTGTTGGTCAGTCATAAAGTCGATCATTCCTCCACTTATCCATTCATTTCTATATTTGCTCAACTTGCAATCATGTTACCAAAACAAAACCCCATACCTCATCATATTTCATCCAATCACAAGTAAGCACTTCGCCGTCGTGAGCCCTTATTATCTGYTGTGGTCGGCTGGGTGTGGAGGTGTCCCAAATACCAAGGGTGTGGTCRCCAGATGCCGTCACAAAGGTCCTTGGTAGATGAGGTGACCAGAGGGCTGAGTATACAACATTYTGATGCCCAGTGAAACTTGATAAAGATGGCATCTCAAATCGCTGTGGATCCCACTAAAAATATGAACAAAAAGTGTTAAACTTTAGTGAATGTAAATCAAAGATTCCTTGCCTTGGAAAAAAAAATTAAAAATCAAAGATTTTTTTTTGCATTTAAAACAACATTTTACAGCCTTTTTTGAAAAGCACTCTTCAGTAAATAAATAAATAAATAAATAAATAAGTGAATAAATAAGCAAGCAGGCAGGCGGGCGGGCGGGCAGGCAGGCAGTCAAGTAAGTAAGTAAATAAATATATAAAACTAACCAGCCTTATGGTGTGATCCCAAGAAGCACTCAAGAAGAGGTCAGTGTCCCTGCCACTAGACCAGTCTACTCCATATACCTGGGGAAAAATAAATTTTACATTGTGTGAAAAACTTTAAATATTTGTGCTCTATCCAGACTAATGGCTAATTCTATTAGCCATTCAGAGGATGACGAAAGAACAGTTGTGGGACTGCTCTAGGGGACATGTTTCAATTTCATGGCATCTATTTCATCCTCTAAAACAGTTAGACAATGCACTGCTATGCCAACTCAACCCAGTTAATGCCTGAGAATGGCTAATAAAGTGTTGTACTATTTTCCTGATATGATACATTGAAAAGGAACTATAGTCTTAGAACAAGAGAAAGACATTTTATACCTTAGTCTATAATTTATTATCTATAGCTTGACTCTCACCTCAGCAGTGTGTCCCTTGAAGACTTTGAGAGGTTGCTGTTAAGAAAATAATACTTTAATAGCTACACTTGATTTTATAAATTATCTAGGAGAGCTATAATGGTTTTGCCATTTTGACCAGTCCACATGACCAGTCCACGCGACCAGTCCACGCGACCAGTCCATGCGACCAGTCCACGTGACCAGTCCACGCGACCAGTCCACGCGACCAGTCCACGCGACCAGTCCATGTGACCAGTCAAGTGCCAATATGGCCAAATATTGTCAATTGACCAGCAGTTATTTTTAGCCCTGTAAGAAGACTTGAGTAAGAAGAATAACTGACTAAAAGATTAGGAAGCGCATAAAAATATAAAGGATTTTTCACCTCTGGACTGTTAATATTCCACAACTGTAGTGATCCATCTCCACTAGCTGTAGCAATAAAGTCTTGCTTATGTTCACTCCATGCACAGTCAAACAGTCCATCAGTCCACTCAAACCTGATATAAATAAGAAAATTATAATGAATATTGCAGCGCAACGTGCAAAAGTATGGCCAAATTTAATACAGACCACAATTAATGCAAGTACTCGCCATAAAAAAGGAATAAAAATAGGGCACACTTAATTAGGAGCCTCGCTCTGTTGTATGTCCCTCACCATGGTTTTTAGCTTTTTTATGTTACTATTATTCATCATGGTGAAAGTTATTAAATAAATAAATAAATAAAATTATGGTCCTATTTTGCCGAAAAAATTKCCAATCCTCATTTAGAGTTTTCTGAAGTAAAATAATAAAAAAGAATATAAGAAACGTATTGCTTACTGTCTGAACACGGCTACTCCACCAGGAATAACATCTAGTATGAACAACGTACCCTTCCCTGTAATGAAATATGCATTCTTTAGCTCATGATCATACACAATTTATTTATTTTGATTTTACATGCACATTACGTATAATTACTTTACCTGCAATGCCGTAATGCTGTGAMGTTGCACACGCTAGTCTGTGGCTAAAATAAGGAGAGAACTTGACTGCATATCCATGGCGATTACGAGTGCGATAAACCAGAGCCATGGAAGGAAGCCCTGGATGGCGGCCGACTTTCTGCAAAACTCCTTCAAAAAGTCACAAAAGGTTGGCGCATATAAACCTTATTGCAGCAAACAAATACCGAGCATCGTAAAGCTAGTGTAATGGAACCATGTAATTCATCCAAATGCAAAATTAGGCGATAATTTACGCATTTTCTGAAGAAAAGTTTTTCCGTAAAAAATTATGTAATTCCTCCAGTTGCAAAAACTGCGGCCATCTTGTTTACCCAGAAAGAAGCGCGCGCGCTGTAATACGCATTGCACCACAGGTACCCCAATCCAGTGGTTTTATTACCAAATGTCTGGAAAATTGGATCTGGGACCATAAAGTTTATTCAGAAACTCAAATAGAAAGATGTTTTTGAAAAAATGCAAACCTTTTTAGTTTTGCAGACACGCTTTGACGGTTTTTTTTATCGTTACTATATTTAAACATACATGCAAATAAAAAGTTATCTTTCTAACAATGCAAATCGCTTTTCTGCTTTGAAAACCGTCCAAACRAAATGAATTTTGAGTACTTTCTATTTTCGTTTGGTGATTTTCCTTCTTCGGTGGAAAGATTTTATGAAAACGATGCYTGGGCTACCTGTGCTTTATATTTTATTCCCAGGCTCTTTGAACTATGGCCGTGCAGATTATTCAAAATGGCGGCCGAAGCTGCACCGGTTTGCTGCTTCCAAAGAATYGTCCTCTACGAGACCAAAGCAGTAAGAAAGACCCTCTAAATATTCAAAGCAGGTCTATAATATACGTATCTAATAGGAARTATTCATATTTTTGTTCTCGTTCTTGCAGAGATTTTATCTAGTCGGTTCAAATAATGCTGAAACTAGATTTCGCGTCTTGAAAATTGACAGAACGGAGCCGAAAGAACTTGTGTTGTCAGACGACAAGGTACGATTAATATACTTACCGATAAGCTAATATGAAGCTCTTAGCTTGAATAAGCATGTGCTAGATATAGTTATAGCAATAAAGTTTGCATTCCAATCTTTTTTTTTGGAAAATGGAGGCGTTCTCATAGCTTTACGTAATGTWATTTTTCATCACTTCCGGTTTGATTTTCATTAGTTTTGACGCCATGGCTTTATTTCGCCGCAGGTTGAATACAACAGACAGCAGATTAAACAGCTATTGAATACCATTAATGCTGGAAATATTATCAAAACTAATAAATCATACGATACARCAACTAGAGGACTTCACAAGAGTATCTCAGCCTATGGCATTCTGGGTAAGTGTCATTTTATTACCCTCCCTCTCCCCTCTGAAGTTCAGGATTATAATCTGTTCTTAGGGTGCAACCACATGACCCAAAATTCCTCGACACATAAATAAGGTGAAACAGCTGCCATGCTTGTTGATGTAACAAGAGAGGAGCTACAAGGAATGCTTCRTTATCATCAACCAACATGGGGGYTATGACATAACATGCACCCCAAAARTTCCTAGTACTCGGAATATGTGATGGTGCTAAAATTGGGTTTTTTTTGCTTGTGTAGGATTTGTGAGATTTCTAGAGGGATACTACATAATACTCATCACAGAGCGAAGAAAGTAAGTTTGCAGAATAAAGTAAAGATTTTCATACAAGCTGGGCTTCCTGTGGATGTGACCCTTAATGAACCCTCATTAAAACTGTCTCAAATGTGAGGCTAACATGAAAATACAAAAGAAATGCCACAAATTCCATTGAGAAAAAGTGTGATTCCTTTTGTTTCCATGTTAGCCTCTCATCCACAATACTTTTGAGAATAGTCCACCCAGTGGCAGGTTTGTACAAGACTTCAACAGCTATGGAAGAAATAGAAAACATGTGCATATACTGTGTGCAGTTATAAAGCATGTGGGGGCTGGCAGAATATAAGAGAGTGGGAGAATGGTTAGGAGTAGCATGACACATACATGTACATGTAAGGATTATCCATTATTCTCCAATAATGTGTTCTAGGTTTGCTCACATAAAGCATTTTAAATATACAGGGTTCAAAATGGTTTTTCAGAAAATGCTGAAATTTGCAGCCTTTTGGGGTGTTTTTTTTTTTTTGTCCTGCTACTTATTTTCTTAATAAAAACAGAAATCATTGAATGTTTTGAACCTTTGGGCCTACAAAACAGACTGCTTTTTTAGGGTAAAACATTATAATGATAAATAGTAGTAAATTATTKATCAGAATTGCTTTATTTCTGTATTTAATTTTTCATTACAAAATCACTGGCAAAGGTGCTGAAATTGCTGGCTAAARCCTGCAGCTGGCTGCTATTTTGAACCCTGATATATGATTTATGAAATGTTATTAACATTTTCTTGTCATATTCCTTGATAGGCAGGCCCAGATTGGAGGGCATACRATCTACAAGATTGAAGACACTAGATTGGTTTCAATCCCTAATGAGGCTGTCATTCAAAAATATCAACATCCAGATGAATCAAGGTACATTGGTTTTTCCATTACTTTTATTAAATTATTTTTTTAAATTTAATTAAATTATTTATTAAATATCAACCTCATGACGTCATATTCTGTGTGCTTATTATCCAGGTATCTTAGAATCTTTCAAAACGTTGATCTTTCAAGCAACTTCTACTACAGGTAAGTCATTAATTAATCGTTTTATATATTTATGAATATTTTTTGAATATCAAATCATTATTTTAATAACATCCTATTATCTATTAGTTATAGCTATAATTTGACGCAAACTCTACAGCACAATATAGCTCCCATAATAAGACCCACTTCTGGTCCCAATGCTGGTGAAGGTTCATGGGAAGGATTGGGATTCTGTACATGTAGCCATAGTAGCCAAGATAAACATTCCACAAGTGGTATTCCATATGATAATGGACTACATAAGTCATGTGACAAGGAAAGTGATTTAAATTCAGGGAAAGATTTTGAACAGAAAATGGAAAGAAAAGAAGAAAAGAATAAAAAGGATTCTGAGATAAACTATGGCATGCTATCACCTGAAACTGAAAAAAAGGATTCAGAGAAAGAAGTTTCTGATTCTTTCAACATTTGTAATGAAAGTCAAACTCAAGCTGAAGACAGTAGTTTCAAAAAATCTGTGAATTCAATAGACATTTGTTCAGAATGCAAGAAACTGAGGGGAAAAAGCAAATCTGGAAATGTCCCAACTGACTCATCAAGGAAAATAAGTAAAGCTTACTACAAGTTTGTSTGGAACAAGCATTTGTTGACAGGGTTTGAAGGAAAGGTTCACCAGGATTGGGTTTTGCATGCTATTAATGGCTTTATTGGGCAAAGCAGTATCCTTTTGAGATTTAACAAATTTTTTTACCAACATTTTGGTGGCTCATTTGAGCATGGAATTGTTGTGCAGAAGGTTGTGGATCRAATCCCTAAACCACACCAACACTCAGAGTCTTGAAATAACTGAGGAGAAAGTACTGCCTTTCTAATAACATCAAAAAAGGTTTCAAAGGTTTTTATTTTTCCACACACAAAAAGGAAAGAATTACAAATAGAACTTAAGAAAGAAGTGGAAAGGTGCAGGAGGAACAACCCAAAAGGGGTTAACTAAGAAAGATCCTGCACCAATAGAAAGATCCTGCACCAATCTGTTAATGGTTAGACTTTTGAGTGGCTCAGATGACCACTTTTAATGAAAGTCCTGTCTCTCCAMCCTTCATCATTACTAACCAATATTGGAAATGATGCTATAGAAATAAAGTATATTATTATTGATATTGAAGGGACAAAAAAGAACCATGACTATATCATACTCAAAGGAATAATCCTATAATCCTGTTGTAGCCTATGGACCATTGAAAAACATTTTCCCCAAATTGATACCATTTTTGTTTAAAAGATAATAATAATGTGAAAGGAATGATGAGGCTGAAACAAAAACGAGGTGCAAGGTTGAGTGAAATGGGATKTCATCCAATTTTTTCACATGCACCCCGACAGCTAGATATACTGCAYTGCATGTACATGTATTATAATATTTCTATAACTCCAATGCTTAGATATATGTGTCTATGGTAAACCAATCTATGTTACGCTTATAGCAAGAAGGTCAGCTGAATTTGCAGGAACACGGTTCCTGAAGAGAGGAGCCAATGATGAGGTACATATTAAATATATACACTCTTAGCATCGCAGGGATTGCAGAGTGGGAGGGGCTGTTGTTTTGTCCTCCAAATTGAGCTGCTTTGTCACATGCAAGTGGTCTATACTTGTCTCCAGTGTTCACTTGTTCCCTAAAGTAATTCCTTTGAATAATATTTTTGCAGGGTTATGTTGCAAACGAAGTTGAAACAGAACAAATAGTTCATGACGCCTCAGTGCTGTTCTTYGACAGTGGTCATTTTACATCATACGTACAGCTCAGAGGCTCTGTTCCCACTTTTTGGTCACAGGTGAGATAAAGATGACTTAGCAAACACCTTGGGGTGAGAAGTAAGTGGTTGCTTACGGGTGATGGTGAATTACGAGAACGTTCTCCATTGAAAGATCAAACTTCATCTTATTTTATATGCATGTCATTCTTTGATAACAACCAATTTTGCATAAGAAAATAAATTTTACTATTGATTAACTTAAATTTTTTGAAACAATAAATTTTAGGTTTTCAAAACAGTTCTTGAAAAGATTTTTCAAGAGCTAGACAAATGAGCAGCACTTCTAAACACTTTATATAATATATATTAAAAAAATACTTTTTCTTACACTTCTTCACAAAGCTAGCTGCACACAGGCAGACTGGGTCAGCACTGCATGTGCTCTGTCCAGTAACATGGCACACTTCTCAACCAATCAGTGGACACATAGCTAGGTGACTTTTTTAATTTTTTTTATTATTTTTTTTTTATATATGTTTATTTATGTTTAGGACATGAAGCAAGTTATGGTTCCTAAACCACAGATAAATGGTAAATATACATCCTATATTTCCGTTATCATCAGATAACCAAAGGCACTCAGTTCAAGGAGACTGTTCAAATAAAGTAACATTATTTTTCTGGCGATATATGAGTTTATTATCTCTCAATATGATAAACTTATCTTGAGATATGGGAAATTTCTATATCGTAATAAACTGGTATCGCATCATAGAAAATTCCCATCATGATACAATGATCTTTTATCTAGTAATGCAATATGATCAATATGATAAACTTATCTTGAGATATGGGAAATCTTTATATGGTAATAAAGTCGTATGGCATTAGAGAAAATTCCCGTCATGATACAATAATCTTGTATCTAAAAATGCAATACAAGATATGGCGAGCTACTTTTGAGCAGTACTGTTTGAAACTATATGGCTGTAGCAATGACAAAGAAAAAGCATTTCTTGTATRGGTTGTCATGAAGATTAGTCAAAGAACATTTGGTTTATAGATTGATTTATCCATTCAGCTCATGCATTGGTTTCCTCCTTTTTCCTTGCCCATGCAGTTGACCGTTCAGACCCATTCTGTGTGGCAGCATCAAGACATGTCAATCAACTGTTTGAAAGGTTTGGAGCACCACTGGTTATCCTTAATCTTGTCAAGGTGAGACTATTATGACCACTGTTGTTCTGTCATGGACAGGGTAAATACCCTATCGATATCTGTTAAGTAAAGGATCAAACATTAGGGTGAGGGCATTCTTAAAAATAAAGGCTGAGGGCGCAGTCAGAGACTGAGGCCTTTATTTTTAAAAATGCCATCGCCAGTGTGTTTGATTGGATTTAATAACTAGCCCCAATCCGTGATTTAGGAACAATGGATTTGGATTTCACATTGATTTGATATGAATGTCCACAGGAGAAGTCCATATTTTCGGGACATTATTGAGGATAACAAACGCATTACACAATGGGGTTGGGGTGTGGCTGGTTGTTAATAAAAATCCTTGCCCTAGCTGACTTAGATCAGTACCTGGATCAATCTGTAAGTTAGCTGACTTAAATCACTTTAGAGGTTTCTGTGTTTCTGTGTTTTAATTAGCCACATCTCCTAAACCACATTTCCTAGAAACGAGAAAGAAAGAGGCACGAGCAGATCTTGAGTGAACAGCTGCAGTCAGTTGTGGATTATCTCAACCAGTTTTTGCCTGTTGAATTTCACATCAAGTACATTGCATGGGACATGGCAAGATTTAACAAAAGGTAACATTTAAAAAATACAGGCCTCAGAACATACTAAACATTATGGAAAGCAATCTCGGGTAGTGTACCAGTAAGAGGGATTGAAAATGTGACGTGGATTCGATTTCTGAACTTGGTGTTGTATGTAAAGCAAGGTTGCTTGTTGGTTCTCTCCAGATGGCCTGTGTTGCAGTGTCTTTTTTCCAGGCTCCTCTGGTGTTCCTCCCTCCACAAAAATCTACTCTTAAATTCCAATTGGAATCCAGTGTTAGAGTAGCCACTCTCATAGAACCAATATTAAATTTGCATCCATCCATCCAACCGACGTTCGTTTGTCAGTTCATTCATTTGTTTATTTGTTCGCTTATTGATTCCTTCCTTCCTTCCTTCCTTCCTTCACTCATATATTAATTTTAATTGCTGCGCCCAGCTCAGTTCTCTAACTGACTTACATAAATTATATCCATTGTTTTGTATGAATTTCCAGTAAAGATCTTGCTGTGATTGAAAAGCTGACAATTATCGCAAACCAGGTAGGCCTGAAATCACTGATCATGATAATAAAACCACAATCTGTAGTAGAATCCTTATCAGCGATGGATAACATGATTGCTGGTAAACTATGCATTAATAAACCTCTAATTTAGACATTGTATATCATATTTTCCCATCTTTTTCCCGACTCATTGGGATATGTTTTTGATTGATTTTAAAAGTTTGACCTCACAAGGTAAAATTTTTGATCATAGGTCTTTAAAACAACTGGATTCTTCCATAGTCGACCAGAATTTTATTGCAATCAAGTGAGGAAGGATCCAAGGTAAGATTCCTTTCGAGTGGGTAACAAAATGGGAATCAGCACAGGTTTTATTCACTGCTAATGTGCTGCCCTCACTGCTGTGATCATTATCATTCAATCCCTGGACTAATGCCTTCATATTTCAGCCAAGTTGCTAATTGTTTTTTTTCTTCTTTGCAAGACGAGTTATAAACGTATAAACATAACAAAAATCCAATTACAATTCCTATTCTTTCTCACTAACTGTCATTTTTTATACCAACCCCATATTTTCCAATGATGCATTGCAATGCTCAGTTCATTCTATTGTGTATTACTATAGATGTGACATGATGGGTGGTCTGTCGTACAGTGATATAAGGCGTGGAAGGGGACAGGTAATATGTCCTGATAGAGTACAAACACTATAAGTGTGCAACAAATACCACTAAATACTGCTGAATTATGCTAATCCTATTGTTTTCTGTTGTTTAATTAGCACTATTTACTACTAAATAGTGCAAAGTGTTGCACACTTTTAGTGTTTGTACTCTATCAATACTATTATTAACAAAATAGAACATAATACAATATGAATTATATAAATTGTATATATATAAATATTAATGTTAGTTATTACATTAATATTAATCCTGTTTTTGTAGAATGGTGTCTTGCGGGTAAACTGTGTGGACTGCCTGGACAGAACCAATACAGCACAGTTCATGGTTGGCAAATGCGCACTTGGTTTCCAGGTAGAATATGGAGTAGAAGCCAGTGTAGTTCTTAACACCAAAATAAAAATGATGTTTTATGGTTTATATAGAGAAGTGTCCTTTCTATGTCGAGTGTATACAGGCACTAAAATCTTGAAGGGTGGTTAGTAACATGAGTTATTATATGACCGTGAATCTTAGAGCCTGGACACTAGCAAATCGAGCAATCTGATTGGATAGATCGCATCGCGGACTGGTCTAGATTCTCCGTTATTAACCGGTCCGATCGCATATTTATCTTACGGCGAAAACATTTTGTCCTTTTCAATGAAAAGTGGTCACATAATAAAACTCTTATCAACCGAGCTTGGTCGGTCTGTACGGGATAATCTTGACCTCGGTCGGGTACRGACGTCGGTCAAGATTATCCCGTACAGACCTCCCGCTCRGTTAATAAGATCTAATTATAGACTGAGGGTGGTTACTGTCARGGTTTCTTTACATCCTCAGCGGTTCTTTTAGGTCCCTTGAGAGTTGTAAACAACAGRCTGAGTTTATCCTTTAATGTCAGTAGTCGTTTCAAAATAAACTATTTTGTTCAATTTTGTTCCAGCTTCATGCACTAGGAGTGATAGAGACTCCATCAGTGGAGTTTGATTCTGATGCTGTCAGGTAACTAATTTTTTAATATTCCAAGCATATTCTGTGAGGGAGGTATGTATATTTTCTGGAACTACACAATACACCCTCCTCAGACCCTCCCCACTCCTTGGAAATTCCAACATCCCTTTATGGGAGAGGCATGGATATTTCTTGGACTACAAAATATAATCTCTTTAAGACCCTCCTCAACCCCACCCCCCTCCCCCTGGAAATCCAGAGAGGTGTTATGGACTTATATTTTACAGGTGCAGAATAAGTAAGAAGTTTTATATTGTCAATTGAGTGTTTTTYCTTTCATTGTTGCTTCAGGATTCTTGAGGATCTCTATGAAGCACATGGAGACACCTTGGCTTTGCAGTATGGTGGATCGCAGTTGGTTCATGGGTTAGTTTATAATTATGGCTTTTGAGTACGTAGCATTTTTGTAGATAAAAAATTTTGATTCTGTCTGTTCAAATCCGTTTAACGACCTCCCCTTGTACTTCGTATTGGGGTAAAATTAATATATTGCTCTTTCTTTAACCAATTGTGAATCAATTTTTATTTTCATAGCATTCGGACATACCGCAAGGTGTCACCCTTTACCTCACACTCGCATGACATCATGCGGACAATCTCTCGTTACTACAGCAATGCATTTAATGGTACGTTCTTAATTGGATCTACTTGTGAKTTATGAAAATTGTTGCCTTAGATGCTTTCAGTTGGCTGGAAATTCTGTTCCCTCTCTAAAGGCCATGATATCTGTCAAAAGATACCCTCCTAAGACCATTCCCGTCCTTAAGAAATTCCAGTCCTCCTGTATAGGGGAAGTGCATTACACTATATTTTCTGGAACTACACAATATACCCTCCTCAGACCCTCCCCACCCCTTGGAAATTTCAATCCCCCTTTGTGGGGGAGGTATGGATATTTTCTGGAACTACACAATATACCCTCCTCAGACCCTCCCCACCCCTTGGAAATTTCAATCCCCCTCTGTGGGGCAGCTATGGATATTTTCTGTAACTACACAATATACCCTCCTTAGACCTCCCCACCCCTTGGAAATCCTAATCCACCTTTAAGAGGAGAGGTATGGATATGAATGGAAGTATTGACTGGTTAGTACATCTCTCCATTACCTTCTGGCCACACCCATTACTTCAGCCCATTCACACCTCTACTTGTTACTGATCCATATTACAGATGCTGACAAGCAGCAAGCAATGAATGTTTTTCTTGGTGTTTTTGTGCCTACCGAGGGAATGTGTAATATATGGGACATGACAACAGATTACTACCTCCATCATACCTCAACGTGTAATCTAAAAGCACTCAAAAAGAGAAAGAGGTACCATAGTTGTCTAGTACTTTCCAGGGCTAAAAAGAATGGTCGTTCAACAGATGATCTGGCCAAAACTGCCACTTATCCAGCCAGATGCCTCTTAGGCAGGATATCTTAGACCAGCCCTATCAACTTGTCATATGACCCGGCCACATGTTGATTATTCAGATGTGGCTATTCATCATGTCCACCCATCGAGCAGCCATTATTTTTACCCCTGACTTTGACAATATGTTTCTATTTATAGTTTGGATATCATATTTTCTTATTTCAAACCACGTCATTCCCTAGAGTATCATTTATTTGTTTCACGGTTAAGCATGAGAAGATTACAGGAATATGGATACGACTCAAACAAAGAATCTTATTCTCTAGAGAATGACATGTGGTCTGAAATGGGAAAACATTAGACCTCAGCAGTGGTTTTGCTTCTTATCTTTTGGGTCTGTAACCTGATGTTTTGCCCATGTTTCAGCTACACATCTTGGCTGGATGAGAAAGTGATCAACAGTCTACCACATCCAGTGTGGGAAGGTATGTGTAATTATATTAATATATTAATATTAAAGATATTATGGGATCCCTGTGTATTATCGAGCACTTGCCTCATACCTCTTATGGGTTCCCTGTGTATTATCAAGGGTGGTGTAATTGAAATATGGTGACCTATTTGAATTAACTATTGTTCTGGACTGACTAGCCTCTAATACATGTGAAGGGAAAACACTTTTTTTAGAAAAATTTAAAAATTAGATTTTTGTGTTTCTCTAGCCTTATGTCTTGGTGGTCTTAGCCTGACAGCAAAGGAAAAGGAGTCATTATTTGTCACATATCCAGACTCAATCAGTCACGAAGAGATGGATGTCTTTTCTGAGTTCTACAGGCCGCATGAGCTGTCTACGTTCGATACCATGTACCAACTAACAATGCAGAGGTCATGCAAGTGAGTGATTTGTTTCATACTGATGTTAACAGTTATGTAGAAATGAAATATGAATGAATGAATAAATAAGGGAATAAATGGATGGAGGAATGGGAGGGATCAAGAGAGGGAGGGCGGGAGAGTGGAAAGGAGGGAGGGATGGTCCATATGTGGAGGGATTGACTGACTTGCTATTGTCATATTAAGGCGAAGAATGGATGCTTCT